ATTTCGCGCAAAGTTACACGAGGGCTATCTGCGCTAACCGTCCCTAATTTAGCAGTGATAGACTAGAGGGAAGGTAGCTATTCAACACCACCCTCCACCAACTCTTGGGCTACTCTTTTTATCAACGAATAGTGGGATTGATCGTCACATTATACGCCCCCACGGCTGAAAGGGCAAGCATGATCGGTGACGGGGATTCGAACCCGCGACCCTCAGATTGCGAGACGAGCGCCTTAACAACCTGGCCTAAAGTCCTGTAGTATTAATGTGTATGTACAGGAAGTTAATTTGCTGAAAAAAATACTGGAATTAACGTTACGCGGTGCACAAAATATTAAGTTTCAAATTTTTGGAACATAAATAGAAATAGGAGACATGAAGATTTCTAGTTTTTGTCCAATTGAGAATATACACCATAAACAGTTTTTTTTTTCATTCATACTGCAAATCATATACCGGATAAACTGTATATGTGGTGTAACTACGTGGAACGCAAATGAAAGATTGTTGAAGTATGATGCAATAATATAAGTTTTTTTGGTTGATGAAAAATAATGATTCTCGAGAGTTATAGTTAGTAAAAATGGGCTATATATGTGTGTGTGTGTATGTCTGTCTCCCCACCTACACCCTTGCATAAATACATTTCCGTCTTGACATTCTATCATCCACCCCCTGTTGAATATTTCTACTGTTTGTTTAGTCACTCTAATGGTATACTTGTCCTCATAGTTGAATTCCGTCTTGACATTCTATCATCCACCCCCTGTTGAATATTTCTGCTGTTTGTTTAGTCACTCTAATGGTATACTTGTCCTCATAGTTGAATTCCGTCTTGACATTCTATCATCCACCCCCTGTTGAATATTTCTGCTGTTTGTTTAGTCACTCTAATGGTATAATTGTCCTCATAGTTGAATTCCGTCTTGACATTCTATCATCCACCCCCTGTTGAATATTTTTGCTGTTTGTTTAGTCACTCTAATGGTATAACTTGTCCTCATAGTTGAATTCCGTCTTGACATTCTATCATCCACCCCCTGTTGAATATTTTTGCTGTTTGTTTAGTCACTCTAATGGTATACTTGTCCTCATAGTACAATAAGGTTACACTTTCAATCCGTTATTTTTATTCATCTTGCGTAATAATCAACTCATTAGCATATTGTTATATCTGACATAATATATTAATGGCGTATGTTAATTGCATTTCAGATCCATAACGACTTACAATTTCCTATAGTCCACAGGACTTACAGAAATCCGAGGTTCGATTCTCTGCATTGTATAATTTTGCTTTAAGAAACAACACTTTCCTATAGTAACAATAAGTGCCAGAAGAAGGCGAAGTGTTCGAATCACTCATATTATGTAAATAAATTTCTT